CAGAACCAACCCCAACAGCAACTAGCTGTTGTGTGGTTTTTCTAGGCAAATTTACGTCCAGGAGTTTTGCCATTGTTTCCTGGACGGTCGGCTTTCTTGATACCACTGTCGAAACTAACGCAAGGCGCATGGCCCGCAGCTGGGATCGAACCCGGCATGCCGGCATTACGAAGCGTTCCTATCGACTTAGCCACAGAGCCGACGACTTCCTTGTACGGGGTTTTATCTCATAAAACTGCGACTCTTCCTAGGGCTGATTGCGGCTTGCTGGAAGCATCACTCAAAGCACGAATTCGGTTATTTCGTAAAAACTGCACTTGTTGAGCTAACGACGCAATGCTGAAACTTTAAAGCGCGAGGCAAACGGCTCAGCCATTTATCGATTGATGGATCAGAACGTCCCTCCTAGCTGCTTCCTAGCAAAGCTTACATGAGCTGTTTAAAACAATCACAATCTCTACAGCAGATCAACAAGGCAGATCCCAGATGCCCCGTTGAACCTCTAGAGAAGTTATAATTAGGGCACCGGTAAACGGCCACACCAGCCATAGGTAACCTGCAGTTTTGTGTGGATACGTACGTCAACCAGTAATGGTCAAGGTCGCGGGTTTAGATCCTGACATAGCCGGACCTAAAAAAAAAATTTCATTGACTGCCATGTCGGCCCATCTTTGAGTGGGTACCAAGTATAAGTCACGGAAGTAAAGATGGCCCGCCTGATGCTGACCACATCATCCACCAAGTACCGATTGGTCTATCAAATATAAGTCTAACCCTATTTGCCCAATATGCCTGAAGACTAATTATCTACTAATTGTTTGTCCCCTTTTTACAGAGTACAATGGTTTCTTGGTATAGTTTCCCTTTGGTATACGTTTAAGTTCATATACACGTCATGTTAAGACGCGAAAACCTTTGCTTGGGATACAATCAAAACTACCCACGTGCTGAAACTTGTATGAGTAGAAAAATTAGTCACGAGACCGCTCGCTTGCTTTACTTCTCTCGAGGGATGTCAATGACTTTGCCCAGAATTATCACCCCAACAAAGCCGAAACATGCCGTAACAGCCGTGTCTGGAGTGACTAGACAATGTCACATTTCCGGAACATTATAAGGAGGAGGCAAAAGCATTGTTTCTTTAGACAGATTGTTTGTAAAAGATTCCTGAAGTTTTATTAAAAGGAGTATTTTCTTCCAAACAATAACAACTCCTCATCTTCCCTTCTCAGTACCATCCTGGCTAGGTACTCGACTCCTCTCAGGAAGGTAAAGTGAGGCTACATGTTCATATATTCTATCTAATTGCGTTTGTATTTACGTATTTTACTATAAAGGCTTGAAAGAAGTCAGAATAAGACTTGCATTAGCAACACAGAGATTACCATTAAACAGCACGAAGAACAATGGCAAAGCACCAGTAAAATAGTTAAAAGTAAAAATCCTGTGGCAACTCACGGGTGTGATTCCTGGACTTTGCACTCAGTCACCGAGGAAAAGGATTAGAGCTTTTGAATTAAAATGTTACCTAGCAATTCACAGAATACAAGGGATCAAGAAAAGAAAACACACCGACATTCTGCACGAGTTAAACATCATGAAGAACTGGCTCATTAACAGCTTCCTGTCCCGAGAGTTAAAGTATTTTGGCTACATCAAATATCATGGTGGTTTGGAAAAGATGGTGATGAAGGATGCAGTTTGTGGAAAGCGAAGCAAGGGTCGACCTACGCGAAGATGGATAGAAGACATTAAAGAAGCATTGTCATTGAAAGCATATGGGACTGGAGAGCTGGCTAGAGAAAGGAATACTTTCAGGCGTGCCGTGGGGAGAGCGACATTCTGTAAAGGACTTGCTGATCGATGATGATGATGAGTATAAGTCAACATATACGTTATTCCATTCAACACTATCAATGTACAATCTGCCAATCTTCTTCTTCTTCTTCTTCTTCTTCTTCTTCTTCTTCTTCTTCTTCTTCTTCTTCTTCTTCTTCTTCTTCTTCTTCTTCACTTCCTCTTTTACCGCTGTGGGTGTCGAGGGAGATATAAGGTTCTGTCTCTAGCTCTTCTGGCAGCCTCGACCATAGGCACATCGTGCTGTTGTAGAGTTTCTCTGATGTTATCCTTCCATATTGTTCTTGGTCTACCTCGTGCTCTACGTCCTTCTTCTCTTTCCATGTATGCTTTGTATGGTATGGTGTCACAAGGCATTCTCTCTAAGTGGGCAAACCATTTCACTTGCTGTCTTTGTATGTAATCCAGAATTGGTTCTGTGCCGACTTGTTCTCTTATGATCTCATTCCTGATCTTATCTCTTATGGTCACTCCTACAGCCCTTTTCAGACATCTCATCTCCATGGTTACTAATTTTCTTTTATGGTTTTATGTGAGTGACCATGTCTGGCACTGGTAGCACAGAGTTGGAATACATATGCTTTGAATAAGATGTCTCTTTGTGCTGATTGGGATTGTCTTATGCTGTAAGAGGGGGGCTAGCTGTCACAATACTTGGTTTGCTTCACTGCATCTAATGTTAATTTCTTTATCCAATTTCCCATCTTCGGTAAATGTAGTTCCCAGATATTTAAACTCAGATGCCTGGTTAATGCCTTTGCACTCTATTGCCATGTTTAGATCTGTCTTCTGCCAATACCAATACGATTTTTTCTTCTTCATGGGAACGGATTGATCATTCCTTATGGGAAAGTTTGTCTAGTGTATGTCTTGTTCAATGTACGTTCTGTTTGGTGTACGTTCTGTCTGGTGTACGTCCAAGGATCGGGAACTGATTTAGTAAGTACACCGAGGTACCATTGTATTTCAAATGACTGACATTTTGGGATGCCCTGCGTGGCTCTAAAAGATTTACCAAAGAGCTTTTCCTCGTATTCAGTTTGCAGCATCCCGGCCTTGAGTACAATCATCCCGAGTCTGGGTACAGTCATCCATGGTATGCCCAAGCCAGCTAGAACAAAGAGAAATAAATCACCGATTGATTCCGCTCAAAAAGCGGTTTTATTCCTCCATTTCCGCCGCTAATGCCGGGCTTAAAGTTAGGCAGACGAGAATCTCCTGCAGATGTATTTATGTCTTTGGAACGAGGCTGGTCGTAGTTTGGAATCATTTTAGTCGGTCTACTTTTTTTTTTTCTGGAGTAACTTTTAGATTGTCAGATTTTTTTCTCTGTAGTTGATGTTGCATTCATTTTCATTTAAGCTGTGTTAAGACTGATGTGTGTACATTCCATGTGTTTATTTTAAAAAAAAAAACGCGAAGGAATAATAATGTGGGCTTGTCTGTCAACTCTTTCAATCCAAAAACATCCTATCATGCGTTTTGGATCATTCTAAAGAAAATGTAATTGACTAGTTGCCTTTTATCATAGAAAAATGTTTCATTATTCCCTATTGTCTAGATTGCTTGTTTACCTTCTGATGTCCTATAGTGTCTATGTTGAGCTCTGTAGGGCCAGATTGTTTACTGCTTTCAGGCTAAACTCTGGGGTAGAAGTTTGAGTAACAACGACGATAATGGTCATGGCAACGACAGAGATGGAGGAGAGGAGGCAGAGAAGAAGAAACCAATGATAATGGTCATGGCAACGACAGAGATGGAGGAGAGGAGGCAGAGAAGAAGAAACCAATGATAATGGTCATGGCAACGACAGAGATGGAGGAGAGGAGGCAGAGAAGAAGAAACCAATGATAATGATCATGAGCAGCAATAGCTTTTGTCACTCTGTGTCAATGTATCAGGTCTTTAATGTCGTCAATCCATATTCTCCGAAAACATTTTTAACTTTCTCATATGTTTTGAGGTGAACAGTCTGTGTTGATAGTTGTTTTTGCAGCATTCTAAAGCGATAACCAAACCCCTGAATGTGAAATCTAAATATTACCTTGGAAAATCAAGTTCCGAATTTTCCGGGTTTTCTGGGTCGATTGCTTTAAAACTATCTTTTTTATTTCAGCAGGGAATTGTTTGAAAATATATACAGATGTAGCTGGCCAAAGATGAGAGTGAAAGATGACGGGACAAAGAGAACAAGGGGAAGGGGAGCGAGGGAATACAGGGGGTCCCGAGAGTAAAGAAAAATCCAACGCTAACAATAACGATAAAATGGTTTAGCACTGATTAGAGAGAAACAAATGGTACGACAAAATCAATAATGAGGAGCTAAACAAATCCTAGGGAATCAAGGGGTGAGGAAAAAGACGCTGGCTGTGGATGGATAGGATTCACGCTGAGATAACCTGACAATAATATAAAACTAGAAAGTGTCTGGCACTGTAAGCCACAGAGTCGCTGCAACAAAATGTGTGCCCAAAACTCCACAGAACTCAGTCTTGACACGCACAGCACTGGGCACACGACACCGTGCTGGAGTCGTCGATACGGGTGCCCTTATTATAACTTCTTTAGAGGTTGAACGGTCTATCTAGGTTTGCCCTCTGGGTCTGCCATGCGGGATAGAATAGCTTGGAATGTGTTCTCTAAAAACTTATGCTCCTTGGGTGCTTGAAACACAGACGATGAGTAAGAAGACTAAAACATTGCTCACATTTTGCCAGAGAGTGAGAGAAAGACAGAGAAAGAGCGCGCGAGAGAAAGAGAGAGAGAGAGAGAGAGAGAGAGAGAGAGAGAGAGAGAGAGAGGGGGGGGAAGAGAAAGAGAGAGAAACCGTGTATGTTGGGGGAGGGACTCGTGTAAACTAAAAGATAATTCTGGTTGTAGTTCATGACTCACAGGATGTACAGTAAAGGTGGATGGGAAGAGAAGAAGAGAAAGACAAAGGAGACGATGAATAAAAACAATAACGAAGAAGAAGAAACATAAGCTGAAGAAGATGTTTTGAATGATGATGGTGGTGGTGTGATGATGATGGTGGTGCTTTGTTAATGATGGTGGTGTGTGATGATGATGATGGCGATGATAGCGATGATGCTGTGAATGACGATGATTTCCCTAAAGTTTGAAACACGCCCGTTTTCTTGTAGGTGTTCTACCAACAAGGTATGGCATAGAAAGTCACCTGATGTCAAGGTCACATTTGTTCCATGAACCCGGATTCTCAGAAGGGGAGAGCATTCTGCAGGTAAACATTTATCTTTGTTGTGATAGTAAACTGTAATGATTGTACGAACTGAGTCAGGCTGTTAGAGTTATGATAGACTGTTAACCTTATAATAGATTGCAATGTTTATAACACAGTGTAGTGTTTACAACATATTGTTAACATTATAATCGATTGCAGTGTTTATAATAAATTTTAATAGTTTTAATAAACTATAATGTTTATAATAGGCGGCCGGCGTTATGCTAACCACATCACTCACTCGCCAAGTGCCGATTGGTCAATAAAAATGTAGGTCTAACTATATTCTCACTACGCCCATGGGCGTGGAAAAAGCACCTTGTTTACTCATTGTTTATAAAAGCTGTAGAGATCAAGTTAACAGGTATAAAGTGGCAGTAATAAAGAATAAGAACAAAACGAAACACCTTCTAATTTCCTACCAGCTACACTGGCAATTGCTGGCTCCTTGTGTTGGTTCTGCGGCCCTGTTATGTGGGGACAGAAAATATAGACCCACTGCCACCTTCACAAGCATGTCGTAAGTGTAGACTAAATAGGGATTTTCTTCGAAGTCTGAGTGCATCTTCCTGAGAGACTATGAACCACCAGCCATAAACCTGATCTGTACAACGGATGTGCACTCAAAATTCAAGTTCTGAAACAAGACTAGAGTCTAGCAGTGGACGAACAACCAGAACTTTCCACGGGAGTTTGCAGGCGGTGAACGCGAGAAAGAAGAATTGCAGGAAGTCACCTTCAAACCGTGGTATGTCAGGAGTGTAAAAATGCGTTGACAAACCCTAAATTTCACCCTCCCCCCCCTCCCCCTTTTCCTTTTCGCCCCCCCCCCTTTTCGCCCCCCCCCCCCCTTTTCGCCCCCCAACGAAGGCAAAGAAAGCAGTGAAGCGTATCGATATGTACGATATTTGCGGTCTTTGAATACATTACGGTAGCAATATGTTGAAAGGAGTTTTAAAATAACAACTTGTAAAAACATTTTGAAACTTATTTTATTCAGAACTAAGACCGCACAAACTGAATCCCATTAGCCTCCAGACACTTTTCATAACCATAATACAACACCAGCTACTATAATTCGATCTAAAAATGGCGAAATAAATCACGAAATAGTAATATTTTTAAAACAAATAGCCTCTATTAAAATGTGTATGTATTTCATACAAGCGGTTTTGAAAGAGGCGGCAGCCCAAAGACAACTTATCACTGACATCAGAAGGAGACAGTCATCATTTTTCGGCCATGTTATGAGAAGAGGGAAAATAGAACGTGTTGTGACCACTGGAGAGATCTGTGAAAGGAGGGACAGAGGAAGACAACGAGAGAAGATTCTTGACAGTCTTGTTGCATGGCATAGAGGTGTGTCAGCACACGAACTGATACATGCTGCAGGAGATCGTGGATTATGGAGAGGCATGATCGTCCACGTCAGTCGGCAAGGCACCTGATGATGATGAGTATAAGTTTCCCTACTGGACGAGGATTGTGTTCACAATTGTGTTGGTCAAGTCTGTAGATAATATCTACTTGTATCACGTCTATTGCAGGCTCTGTACGGCTTCTTGTTTGTTGTCACCTGTGAGGGTGAGGTGTTCTTTGCCTCCAGAACCGTGGAACAATACCTGGGATTTCATCAGGTAAGAACAAACACCTGTGATTTATTGTCACTTTACATATTTATGATAAACTGGGTTCAGGTGTATACTTATGATAAACTGGGTTCATGTGCATACTTATGATAAACTGGGTTCAGGTGCATACTTAAGATAAACTGGGTTCAGGTGTATACTTATGATAAACTGGGTTCAGGTGCATACTTATGATAAACTGGGTTCAGGTGAATACTTATGATAAACTGGGTTCGCGTGCATACTTATGATAAACTGGGTTCAGGTGAATACTTATGATAAACTGGGTTCGCGTGCATACTTATGATAAACTGGGTTCAGGTGCATACTTATGATAAACTGGGTTCAGGAATCATCATCATCACCCCAGGAATACTGGTTACGAAAGTGAACAGTGGACGGGTTTAGTAAAACACGCGTACAGATAGAATAAACATTATCACACATAATCTATTCTGTCACACTGCCATTATTGAATGTGTGTACCAATTTTGCACTTTAAAGTTCTAAGGTCATCTTGTTAGTGCTGACGCCATGGACTGTGCAGAGAGAAGCAAATACCTGACCTGACCAGGGATTCGAACTTTAGTCTCCCGCATGAGACGTTAGCGTTGTTAGCCATTCGATCAGCCACTCCTTTCGCTAACTATATGAAACCCTACTGAATGATGCAGAAACCCTGAGAACGAGAATGTGAAGCTGCAATTGGGAGATGTCGATTTACATGTGAAGAGGTTAATTGTATCCAAAGTACAAATGGTTTTTAAAATTTAAAAAAAAAAAAAGTTTTTAGAGGGTATTGTAGTGTTCCCGGGAAAAAGGAAAGTATGGGAGGGGGGGGGGGGGATACACTTTGAAATAAAGAAGAATACTAGTAATGGCAGTTACAACTTCACAGCTAACGGGTCACCCTGTAGTTACTCCGTTGCTGTCTAACGAAAACTACACAGAATGTCTATTACTGTCCCTTGTAGTTAGACTTCCGTTAAAAAAAGAACTGAATCCTAACCTCTGAGCTTCAAAACCTGACAAGTCGTGTCTGTAATGAAACCAGTAAACAAACATAGGGTAAACCTCAGCACCAGAGCTTATTTCACAACTAGTGCCTATGCGGACCATCGCAAGGGCCCCAGACAATGTTGTACCCAAATGGGGAAATCCGATAACTATCAGTTTGAGTTTATGGAGCCGTCAAATCTTGCAGACAAATTCATACACCATCAGGGACCAAATCCGACCAAGGAATCAAAAGGACGTCAGGTGTGGGGGTTTGTGGCCTGTGTTTTGTGTGTGTATGATGTAGTGTGTGGGGTTTGTTGCCTGTGTTATGTGTGTGTATGATGTAGTGTGGGGGGGGGAGGGGTTGTGGCCTGTGTTTTGTGTGTGTATGATGTAGGGTGTGCATGAGGGAGTCGCTGGTGTGGGTAGAAACAGGTGTAAGACTGGACGAAAATTTTCACCCGTTAAGAAAATCAGATGTTTGTACAGCCGGTCATAAATTCTTCAGTGTTCAACTGCGGTGGGTAATAATCAAAATGGGTGATTTCCGAGGTCAATAAAGGCATAGATTAACTCATTCGGCACGTTACAGTCTAGGTGTAAATTAAACTTAAGTCACTATACACAATGCGACTCGCTTATCCACCCGAATGTACCAGCGGTTAGATGATTTGACAAACCTGTTCTGTTATTTTCAACAGTCTATATAACTTAACTCTTTTAAACTCTTTCAGTACAAGTAATTCTTTTAACTGCTTGTGTCTAGTCCGATTATTACTGTAAATAACGTTTACCTATTCTCAAATGAGTAATGAGTTAAAAACTGACATCATAACATTCGGCACAATTCGAAAATTCTCCATCTCGTCCCTAGGGGTAGATTTTCTCACTATGATGCAAGCCTTCCAAATGCAGCTCCTAATAGCTTTGCGGTGTCAGATCAAAAGTTCAAATTGTATTTTGATTTCGCTGCTCATGCCGACCCCTTACGGTGCCGCCTGATGCGGCTACTTCTCTGTATCATATCCCTCTGGCTCCATCTCCATCTTCAACAGCAAACGCAGAGTTCCACTTCCCAGGGCACTAGTAACGGTCTGATTACGTCAACCCGGCACTCCTCGCTGCACCGTTCTCTTCAACCTGTGATCATCTATGTGTGTCTCCACACTCTTGACTCGCCCCCGAAGGGCTCTTACATTAGCAAGCAAGTCGTGCATCAGTCTACCAGCAAGTGGTGCAGAACTAGCCAGTCTATCTGCATGTTCATTCCCCAAAACATCGGCATGATCTGGAGAAAATATCCAAAAGATGCTAACTGCCAGAGTTCTCTGAAGCGATGGTTGCCACTCTGCACGGAGCCTGCCTGTCACTATATTTCTCATCATGCTCTTTGAGGCAGTTGTATGATAATGACATGTGTGGGCAGCGAATTCTCAAGCCAGCGGAAGGCTACAGTCCATGTCGTTGCATTTAGTCGTTCAATTTCATTTTAATATTACGTAAACTACATTACAGAGACACTATTTAGTGTAAAAGTATAGTCCGACTATTACTTTAGCCAGTTCCTCTCTAAAAGGTTGGAAGCCTTATTACATATATTTTTTTAACAGTCTTACAGCCAATCTCTGGTCTCATCAAAGATGCAAACAGCGAGAAATGGAGAGTGAGAAGCAACAACGAAATTCATAATATGTTTCAATCACCATTTATCACATACATAATGAGGGCTAATAGGCTGATGGTCGTAGACCACGAGGCAGAGCAAGAAGACAATGGATAGATAACACCCAGATAGACGTACAAACACTTGATGTCACCAACTGGAAATAGAACTAGAGAGATAAGTGGAGGTGGGTGATATCTGCAGCAATGAACCCCAAGAGCTGGGAACGCTGAAGAAGTAGAACTGTTCCCTATCGTTACACTGACTGGTTCAATTTTATAGAATTATTATTGAAGCTCCTTTACAGTGGCACTGTTTAGTGTAAATCAACGTCTTCTTCGGGTAGAACAAGTTAGAGCAGCAGCTGCGTGGTGCTGATCGAGTTAGGGCAGAAGCGCCTGGCAGCGTGATGAAAGCACTTGGTTTAGCGTGCGGGACATGATTTTTTCAGACGTAAATAAATATACGTGCTGCTACCGGACAAATACTGATACTGGAATATGCTAACGGACAAATACTGATACTGGAATATGAAATGTTATACCTTTACATACCCATTTCACGGTATAATCAATCGGGGTGGCCGGTTATATGTCTCTCCACGTTTAGTTGCCTAAAAAATTCAAAGAAATTGTTCATTCCTATTATACGGTTGGCCATCCATTTTCATGAACTGGGACATCATTATCATCAGTAGCCTTGTCGAGTGGCCTGGGAGATATTGTCTCTCCACACCTGGTTAGCAAAGATTTATGTTTGGAGAACTGGCCGCGAAGAAAAGGCCAGGTGACCCCCCTGTCGTATTACCCCGGAACAAGTAGGCCGATCTTTTCCACGCTTGGATGCGTAGTGGCTATATGGTGCTAGCTTTACATTGTTATGCTTAGACGTAAAAATTATTATAGTCAGTTCCAAAAGTTGTGGCTTCCAACTTCAACAGATACCACGAAAACTCATGTACGAATCAATACGAATTGTTTCATGTAGTCTTAGACTTCCTACGTTCCTTTGATTTCATAATTTACAATTGCAAATGTACTGCTGTTTCCTGATAGCTGTGAATATTTTTTTTTATCTTTGTCGGACTAATAATTTGTGTACCCCTAAAAAAGATAGATATTCAGTGACACAAATCACGTACTTTTTATGAGCCAGTCAAAAAGTATTGTGACAGTACATAATGTATCCTCTTTCACCATTTAAAATACGCCCGCCATAGTTTCTTGCTCGGATTATCTTCCAAAACGCTGACAGTTTGATGTTTTGACAACTTAGCCTCAAACAATTTATTCTAAACACGCTAATTCTGTGTTTTAAAACGCTGTCTATGTTTCTTTTTTCCCCATATACCACAAACAAGGCCAAAAAATTTAAAGTAAAATACCTACAATTTGTTTATATTGTAACCATTACCCTACGATGATATAATTATTAACAGGTTGTATGCCAGATTTCAACAATTAACACCGAACCGTTAGTAAGTTACACATTTGTAAAGTTGGACTCGATTTTCGCATCTGACAATAGACGTGGGAAACCGCTGCGTTTTGGCCATCTAATGAGAAGGAATAGACTGTTGACCTTGCAACCATTGCAAGATGGATGAAAGAGACCAAGAGGAAAGCCAAGACATAAATACTCAGATGGTTTGGTCATATGGATTCAACAGGATCGAAGATAAAACCATCAGGGAGCTAAGGATAACAGGAACACAGTGATAAAAAAGGAACATACATTCTATTGGGTTAGGGACACAAAGCCAACATTCTGGCGTACATAGCACAATATTAGTCAAATACTTGGCGCAAAGAAACCAGATCATAAATATAACCGTAAACTGATGGCAGCTAAGATCGCTGCAGCGTGTTGAACGTGGTCGAGGTTTTTTTTCTATTATGGACAGGCTATGTGGATGGGGCAAGACTAGAACACTGACCTGATCCGTGATTCTGATTACCGTTTATTATGTCCATACTTCTCCACCACCAACCCTGCAGACACGGCCAGTCTGACCGCTCGCTCTTTCATTTCCTTTGAGCTTGACCTGTCCTGGTGTGCACAGACAAGATAGTTTCTTGAGGCTGGATAATTCAGGCTAGTGGCAAATATATAGGCTGAACTTAGTCTTAGTCAAGGTTTCAGCTTCACTGCAGTGGGGTCAATTCAAACCTACTCCGTCCCTGTGGCAGGAAATATCAAAGGACTGGTAAATAAACAACTGGTCCCTAGACAATGCAGAAATATGCGCACACAGTAAATGCAAATGGCAGTGTCTAGAGGCGCCAAAGCCAACAGTCGCCACCAGAAATGCAGTTTATCGTTGATAGAAGTAGTCGGGCACTATAAGTTGGCTATACACACTGAACTAAGCTCTGATAAGATATATGGACATCCACGTAGCTTCAAGTTAGCGCGAAACACCTTCACAGTGCAGCCGATACACTAATGTAGCGCGACAAACAGTTTGGAAAGCTCCGGAGTTTAGAGCGCTGCACCTGAGAAAGGTCGCTGGATTCACGACGTTGATAACAATGTCCAACACAAAAGAACGGTGTTGCTCCAACTAGCACCCGTGTTTTATGTACTGCAGGTGCGCATTAGACGAACCCCGTACCTAATCGGTGCCTAACGATTGCCCAATCCGCGAATAGAGACCGCATCAACTCACCAAAGCCGAACTCTACAGAAATGCCCGAATACAGAAGGGCATTCAGAAATGCTCCATGGCGACAAAGCAAGATATCAAGGTTGGATCTTAATTGAGACAAGCGGGACTTGAGACTTTGTTCCTGGAGACTTTGTTCGCCGTAAGCGGGGAAACTTCGAATCTCATGAGAAATGGTTTGTGAAAAGGACAGTTCAGAGCCACTTGTTGCGCATACGTCAGCATAAATTAACCATGAACTAATTGGAATGTCATACACCAAAAGATGAACATCGAATAAATATTCAGTATGATTAATTGTTTCGTTTACCGCAGGGATGAAGTAGCCCTTTTTTTGCGCTGGAGAAATTTAGGATTACCAACCTGGTCGCGGGCCACATAGAAAAAAAAAAAACTATGAAAACAAAACACCTCTATTTTCTCGTTACACAATATTTGTGTATATTATTCTAAGATTATGATCTTTCGCTACGCCTCTGGCTAGACACACCCAGAAACTTCTATATGTTCCGAAATTTTATATATAATTTTACACCATCCCTGTGAGCCAGTATAATTTGCTCGGCGGACGAATTTTAGCCCGCGGGCCATAGTTTGTTCACCCTCGTTTACACGATCTTTTTGTTAGGTGCAGAACGAACTGAACTGAATTTCTACCCCACCAGGACATCACACAAGCGATAAACATCCGATGACACAAAGTGCCACCATGTGAATGAGGATCACCGTGGAGAGGTCCCAGAAACCGCGTTCAGACATTTGGCCATATTTATGGCCTGCCTATATTGCGGCCCCTGGCAAAAGCCAGAGTGGGGCTTCAAATAACAAAAAATTACGTCCTAAAAAGGACGTAAGGATATCTATATATATAAGGTGCAGAAACGCATAAACCAGATAAATAATTTGCAGGACTAGCTGATTGGTTAGTTGATGCGTTTTTTGATAAGGTCATTGGTTATTCGATTGGTTGGTTTAGTGCATTGTTGTTTAATTGGTTGACTGTTTAATTTATCGATGGGTGGGTAGGTTAGCTGGTTGGTACGCTGGTTGGTTGTAAATACCATGCAAGATTTTAAGTTTAAGCCAAACGTCGGATATACTCACTTGCAAGCTGTCTGGTTCCTGAAAGTGTCTTGCAGCCGTCAGATGCTGTTGAGATTTCTCTCGCTACCAAGATCTAGTAGAAAGTGAAGCTTTTGACTCAGATGAATATCGAGGTAGGTTAAACAAGCAATCAAAGATGGATAGAAGAAATAAATCAACTAAAGATATACAGGAGAAGCAATCAACCAAAGATATAAAGGAGAAACAAACAAACAAAGATGTGTAGGAGAAACAATCAACCAAAGATTTTTAGGAGAAACAATCAACCAAAGATTTTTAGGAAAAACAATAAACCAAAAATATACAGGAGCAACAATCAACCAAAGATGTGTAGCAGAAACAATCAACCAAAGATGTTTAGGAGAAACAATTACCCAAAGATGTACAGGAGAAACAATCCACCACAGGTGTATAGGAGAAACAATGAACTAAATGTGTTTAGAATAAACAAAGATAAAAGTTGCATAGGAGAAGCAAACAACTAAAGATATAAAGGAGAAACAATCAACCAAAGATATTTAAAAGAAGTATTCAGCCAAAGGTGAATAGGAGATATATCAACTAAAGATGTATAGGAGAAGCTGAGATTGAAACAAAGATGACTGAACTACAAGGCTGCCGACACAAAGAAAACTTTTAGAGAGAGCCCTCATTGCCACACCAATAATGTTGAGGATGCTAAAGGATGTAGAACATGTGTCCTCCCTCCTATAAACCACCGCTCGCCTGAGCATCCGAAGGTCATGGATTCACGCGTTTAGGTTGACCCAGAAGTAAGTGGACACCACATAAAGTCCTGGAAAGTAAAGGCGGTCGGCGTTATGTTGATAACATCATTCACTGATTGTCAATTCTGAGTTAGCTAGATATTCCCAACACGCATGAAGGCGTGTAAAAGATATTTTACTTTACATTACAAAACTGTGTTGTCCTTCAGTCAGACATTATCCACCAATCCGTGATGGAACTGATCCACTCCGAGGACAGGGAGGAGTTCAAGCGACAGCTGTCCTGGAGCTCCCTGCTGCCGGTAGACAAGGCAGGCATGGCCCTGCATGACGTCATGTTGCCAGGTAAGCTAACACATCCGTGGTGTACTTACTGTACCAGCCATGAAGTCGCTCGAGCCCTGAGAAATGATTCCGTGTCTCAAAGGGAGGCGTGTGTAGAGATTTTTCTATGCAACCGGTGGTGGGGTATCAGCTCCACCTCCTCCTCCCCCCTCCTCCCCTCCCCCACATCCTTCATCTCTTGAAGTTCAGAAAGCACTGCAAGGCTCGATCTCAACGTCTTCCTTTCGCCTCTTCCACTACGGGTGGCTTCCTGAGGGTTTGACCACTCAGAGACTACAAACATCTCAATGAGGATGGCAAGTCAAAAGGGCTAGATCCAGAAACCCTTTTCAACATTCAAAGAAGTTCTAATTGGTACACCGGTCACGGTTACACCCTCCTGAATTAACATGCAAGACTATGCGCGTAAGGATATGTTACAGATACTTTAAATCTGTAGAGAGACATGCTGTCATGTCAGGAGAACATACTTCAGAACACATCACGCAAACTGGAAATATCCTAGGAGGATGGTGTTTCCTTAGGAGGTTTCAGGCATTGTATTGTCAAGTGAAGCCAAAAACCAACACCCTAGTTGATCAAAACACTGAAGAGAACTGGCTCATAAACAGCATTATGTCCCGAAAACTGGGGTTTTTCGGTCATTAAGAGCCACGGTGACCTGGAGTCGTGGAGGCTGCAGTTTCCGGGACATAAGGGGAAAGTCAAAGAAGGAAGAGGGTGAGGAGAAGGGGAGGGCAGAAAAAAACCCACTTGGAATAACAATATCAAGAAATGAACAGGACACAATCATTTACTTATCCAACAAGCAAAAGACAGAGAAAGGGGGCGGATCTTATTTGCTAGAACTTCCATCGATACCCCCACGCCCCCCCCCCCACCCCAATCCCCACGACCCTAAGGGTCAAGGGTTATGTTCTGTTATATGCACATTATAATTCAATATTCTTTCTTGTGTTGTTTGCGGTTGGTTACACCACTGCCGGCTTGCTAGACCCGTCGCGTGAAGGGGCATGGGACAAATTTGACCTGGTTGGTGCCCACCTCCTTCTAGGCGAGCTATTGCCACGTTAGCCTGCAACCTCATTACACATGACATCTGGGAGAAAGGCCAGAGGGAAGACCAAGCATAAATATGGATAAATGGTGTTGCTGAAATCTGCAAAAAGGTGAATAAATCCATCACCCAAGCCACCCGAGAAGCGCAAGGGAAAAGAAAACACGACACTGAGCTACATACAACTGGTATCAGTGAGGTGACAGAAGAAGACATAGATGTAGACATTTAAAGTAGGGTCGTGGTTGGTTGGTTCCATTTCATTACACGTAAAACACGGACAATTTAATTATTGGGACACGCAGAGAAGGCATCAACAAAGCACGAAAATAATTGTATGAAATTAAATGTATTTCTGTCTTACAGCTTGTTTATTCCATTGCAGAAAACATCAACTACCTCCATCGATCGTTCACGGTCAGATTCCGGTGTCTGCTGGACAACACTTCGGGTTTCATTGTAAGTTCATTCTTAGTAGATCAGTGTAACAGCAAGAAGATAATGAGAACAATTAGTAGATCGGTGTAATAACCAGTAACTCATTGTAACAGTAAGTAGGTCAGTATAACAAGGGGGAATCAGGTGTAATAACCAGTAAATCATTGTAACAGTAAGTAGGTCAGTATAACAAGGGGGAATCAGGTGTAATAACCAGTAAATCATTGTAACAGTAAGTAGGTCAGTATAACAAGGGGGAATCAGGTGTAATAACCAGTAAATCATTGTAACAGTAAGTAGGTCAGTATAACAAGGGGGAATCAGGTGTAATAACCAGTAAATCATTGAAACAGTAAGTAGGTCAGTATAACAAGGGGGAATCAGGTGTAATAACCAGTAAATCATTTTAACAGGAAGTAGGTCAGTATAAAAAGGGAAAATCAGTGTAATAACCAGTAAATCATTGTAACAGTAAGTAGGTCAGTATAACAAGGGGGAATCAGGTGTAATAACCAGTAAATCATTTCTACAGGAAGTAGGTCAGTATAAAAAGGGGAAATCAGTGTAATAACCAGTAAATCATTGTAACATTAAGTAGGTCAGTATAACAAGGGGGAATCAGGTGTAATAACCAGTAAATCATTTTAACAGGAAGTAGGTCAGTATAAAATGGGGAAATCAGTGTAATAACCAGTAAATCAGTATAACAGCAAGTAGGTCAGTATAACAAGAGGAAATCGGTGTAATAACCAGTTTATCAGTATGTCAGTGGGCAGATCAGTGTAATAACATCATATCCAATCACAGGTCTTAGTATGAAAAATAAACTAATATAATAGAAGTGTCTGGAAAGTTGTTTCTCTCACACACAGACAGAGAGACACACACACACGCACACTCACACACACACTCTCTCTCTCACACACACACACACACACACACACGTACACACACTCACACCCTGAGCTCCCCACCCCACCCCCACATTTTTTTTTAAATGCCCGCGAGTAATCTAGAATGCAATACAAGAGTACATGCGAATAGTCTTAAATAATGCAACATGTTCGAATGTTTGGGTAGCACTGACTAAGTAGAATGTAGATTTATGACAGATACAAACATGTAGGTTAGCCAATAGTAAGCTAGCATTGTATAGACTGTAGAGTATTCCATGCAGGGTTTTATTTGATAGAAAAAAGAAAGAAGCCGGTACTGACTATAGTCTCTAATTATCAAGTCTGAAAATAAGTTAGACCTAAAACATGTTTCGGTGTTGCATAACGATAGAAGAAGGAGAAATACAGAAATCCTTTTTCTTCGCAACATGTTGTTGTAAACTGAGATGTTGACCCAGTCTTCTGTATGTACCAGGTACAGTCCTTGGAAGTAAAGCTGTTTGGTCTATAAACTATAGGTCTAGCCCTATATACCCAATAAGCCTGGGGCGTTGGAATGTTTAATAAAGATATTTTCAAAGAAACAAAATTACAAAGTGAACTGATTATTATTTTCTGCAGAGTTGATCCAAATTCGATGAGATACCTGAGAAAGGTGGTCCAAGTGACAAGAAGGGACAAAGTCCGCAATCAGACAATACGTCAAGATCTTGATACCCAGTCCTCACAAACCCGAGTAGATCAGTCACAGTTACGATGGTTTGGACATGTATGCAGAATGGGAGAAAATCGGCCACCATGGCAAGCATGGGAGGCTAAGAACCAGGGAACCAGACCTCCGGGACGACCCAGGGTGCGCTGGGAAGACAACATCCGACAGTCCCTAACTGACAGAGGACTGGAATGGAACAAAGCCAGAAAGAAAACTGCTGATAGAGACGTCTGGCGATCTCTCTGGCAAACCTCTACATCCCAAGGTAGAAGAGGAGCGACTAAGTAAGTAAGTAAGTAAGTTGATCCAAATTCGTCGGCCACATGATAAAAAGAGGAAAACTGGAAAGTTCGAGGTCAACAGAAGCTGGAAAACGAAATATATTTGTTACTTAATGCCACCTTATTTTTTAAGGAATTTAGTAGTATAATTGTTTTAGAAATGTGGATATGAATTTAAATATTTTATAAATTTTGAAAATTGTTTGTTTTGTTTCAGACCCTGGAGATCAATGGCTGGATCCGAGTTTTACATCGACAGAATCCTCGATGTGAGGAACCGCAACTGGCGCTGTTCGCCACGTGCTCGCCGTTTGGTCCCCTCAGTTTGTTTGACATTCCCTCACAGGAAATGACCTTCAAAACTAAACACAAGATGGACTTCTCTCCCGTCACCATGGACAACAGGTTAGTTTTAATCTCTGTGAACAACATGATGTCATTTGGGGATAGCAGATTCAGCGTGGTCACTGAAGCGATCAGTTTTCTACGTTTACTTTACTTCATTTCTCGACTGGCTCTATAAGTGCCGTTCAATGTTTTTGTACACCGAAGTACATTTATTCTTACAGCAAGTGGCTATTTTCATCCGGAGGTGACATCAATGCCGTTCCGTGCTGTCTGCTAATTTATTACACATTTTTCTTCTTCTTCTTCTTCTTCTTCTTCTTCTTCTTCTTCTTCTTCTTCTTCTTCTTCTTCTTCTTCTTCTTCTTCTTCTTCTTCTTCTTCTTCTTCTTCTTCTTCGCTCTTACCGGCTGTAATCACCGGCTGAAAGTTTTATATGTTCGTCCACATCTAAACATAAGTCTTGTTCCAGAACGGGAGTATTGCGTGTACTTATTTGAATGCAGATTGTTGGTTCGTTGCCTGTCAGGCAGATGAAGTTGGACTTCAACGGAAGCTCCCAGTTAGTCGACTCTTAGGACATGCTTTTTGAGGAAGCAGCGGGCCTATTCTTGTTTTCCCCACCTTGTGACCCCGGAACCCTTACGGGGATTGCCTCTTCTATATCTGTGATGTCGGGATTTCTCCAAAGTCTCACATGTCTATAAGCCTTAGAAACATCAACAACTGCATTTCCATGGTCGACAGACTAAGTATATCACCATGTAATTATCTACTTGTTTTGGCGTCTGATGGCAAGATAGCAATGATGATGGTGTCTATGGTGATAACGACAAAAAATGGGTTGATAATGAAGATGACGTCGGTGGTGGTGATAGTGGCAGTGGTGTAGACGGCGACAGGGATACGTTCGAAGAGAGAGATGTAGCAGAGGACGACGACACGTTACAGAATCATCAGAGCCATTAATAAAACAATACAGCCAATTTCCCTTTGCCAGATAGTTCAGCTCTGACATTTCCCGTCCCTTCCCCGTGTCGATTTCTGGAATCACCGTCGTTTCGATCTCACCCCAGATTTTCATTATGTCCTCAGCACAAATTAATTACCTTTATGCAGTGACTATTGCTTAATTAGTTAATTAATTATGTTTTCCCGTTGATTTGACTCCGCCGTAACATATGGCGCCGGCTGCGACACAGTAGGCCAATGTAGGGCCACCGTGAAATCAATCAAAGGGTTTCATGTACCTGGCCCCACCGTCGCACATCGACCTTATAATCACAACATGACGTCATCGATTTTTGTGTTATAAATTGTCCACATTCCGTACCAAAACAGAAAACCACTCACCCGTATTAGGACGATTGCTGTTTTCCGAGACGAGGAACCGATGAGTGTTTTTTATGTCTTTGGACACCAGTGGAGCTTGTCGCTTCACATCCTGTCGGCACACAGACGTGATTTTTCTATTAGCTAATAACTTGTTGAAGCTAGTTTTTACCTCTGAGATGATGTTCTTCAGTGTCTTCTTTGGTTAGGCATCATGGTATAAATCAGTGTTCAGGTCTCACGACAGATGGTAGAAACATCAACAGAGAGAGCAAACTGAAGTATCTGGGAATTACATTTGACAGGAGCCTGTTATTTAAGGACCATGTGGAGAGTGTTGTGACGAGATGCTAAAAGGGACTTAGTACACTTAAGACTATGGCTGCAATTGACATAGAGCAGAGAATGCTTTTCACACTATATCAGCACCTGATCTTGTCAGTGGTTGATTATGGCCTGGGACTGCTTACCGTCTCAAAGAGTCAGATGGACAAACTAGAGCGCATACAGAACGCGGCTATGCGGGTCATTCTGGATTGCACCAGAGACATCCCAGGAGTGTGTATGCGATACATCCTTAGTTTTCTGACTGTTGCAGTTAGGCACAAGGTACTGCAGGCGAAGTCATATCTCAGGGTAGCTGCAGACACAGACCGCCCTTTGCATGAAGCTCTGGCTGATTAGAGGGAGGTCATGGATGGTTCAGGCAGAAGACAAAATCAGACAGGTTTGCATCCTTGAGAAAATTAGGCGAGGAGAGGAGTGGGTCAAAGAGCCACCTGAACAGTCAGACTTGTGTAGGGTCATAATCACCCTGACCCGTGAATGCAGAGACTGGCCAGCAGGTGCCACAGAGGTGGAAATTCAGCAATTAATTCAAGATAATGCTCGCTCAGAGGATTTGATCATTTACACAGACGGTTCAGTGTCAAGAGGCAAAAGAAGTGCTTGGGGCTTCTTAGCAAAAGTTAATGGTCGACGTTTGGTACAGGAGAGCCTAGCATATGATACCACAAAATCCAGCTTAAGAATGGAGGTGGAGGCGGTCACTGCATCTTTCCGCTGGCTAGAGAACACGACACACACACATCGTAATTGTAACTGATTTAGAAAGCATGCTGAGGTAGATCAGAACAGGTATGCTTCGTGGAGAGTGGCATGCTTCGCTGCGGAGGACACGGGTGAGGAGTATGTTCTGGATTTTTTCACCGGGTGACGCCGGTGTGTAGGGAAATGAACAGGCGGATAGACTGGCTGGCTCTGCACAACTTTGTGGAATGCTGATGCATGGTAAGACAGACGTGGTTAGTACCTTGTGGGAGAGCGTGTACAGTTCGGAGGAGCAGATGGATCACCACAGTCTGGTGAGACTGATGCAGGGGGGAGTGACGAGAGGTTCTGGCAGATGCTCGAGGCTCAGAGGAAAGACAAGACAGACGATTAATCAGAATGCTACTGGCATCATTAGTATCGGAACTCTTTGCTGGCTGCTGAAGATGAGGACGGAGCACTTATGGGAATGCCCCTAGTTCTTTGATGTCGGTTCTTGAATCAAATCAAATCAAATCAAATCAATCAGTGGTTCTCAAACTTCCTCAGTGCAGCGACCCTATAAAACAGCTCCTCATGTTGTGGCGACCCCCCAGCCATACAATTATTTTCTTTGCTACTTCATAACATCAGTCCCCCGTGTGGGTTCCGGGGCCCTATTGTGGGGAAAACAAGAATAGACCCACTGCCTCCCCAGAGGCATGTCGTAAGAGTCGACTAACTGGGGAGCTTCCTTTGAAGTCGGAGTGCATCTGCCGGAGAGGCAAGGAACCAGCAGTCCTCATTCAATTGAATCAGATCTGTAAAACTGATGCACACGCAACACTCAGGTTCTGGAACAGGACTGCAGTCCAGAAGTGGACGAAAATCCAGAGCTTTACACCAGAGTTTACAGCTGGTGAACGCGAAGAAGAAGAAGATAACATCAGTGAATATGTGTTGTCCGATGGTCTTTGGCGACCCCTGTGAAAGGGTCGTTCGATCCACAAAAGGGTCGCCACCCACGGGCTGAGACCCGCTGGTATAAATTATATTTAACAACAACAACTGATAATAAGCGTTGTAGACTTCATAAATGAACATTACAGTAAATGTACTACGTATACCACTACTACTACGTATACCACTACTACTACTACGTATACCACTACTACTAGTACGTACACCACTACTACTACGTATACCACTACTACTACTACGTATACCACTACTACGTATACCACTACTACTACTACTACGTATACCACTACTACTACCACTTGTGTGTGTTCCGGGGCCCTTTTGCGTTTTGTCCCCCCCCCCCCCTTCCTCCTCCCCCCGCCCACAAAAGAAAATAATCATAAAGCTGCTCCGGGAGGAGGAGAGGGAGGGGCGTTGACTTGCTCTTCCCCGCCCCTACTTGACACATGCAGTGCACTTTGTGGTATAAATACTGATATTAATTTTTTTTTTCAACTGATAGTTAGAAAACTAGACTTAGAGAAATGAACATAATTATAACACCCCCCCCCCCCCCCGTGTGTGTCCGCGGCCCCTTTTGTGTCTGTCTGTGGTGGGGGGGGGGGGGGGGGGGGGGGAGGTTGGGAGATACACTGGCTCCCTGCTTCAACAAACATGTAAAGTTCCACCAACTCGATGTGTTTCCTTGGTAATCAGAGTGCGTCTGCCGTAGGGCCGAGGAAATAACCCAGATCTGTTAAACAAAAGAACGGTAAAACTCCAGTTCTGAAACAAGACAAGAGTGCAGAAGAAGACGAACAACCAGAACTATCACCCGGAGTTTACAGCCCATGAAGCGAAGACGTGGCAGAAGAGGAGGTCAGTAAATGGCGAGATGCTGCCACAGGTATACAGGCTTTTAAGAGAGAGAGAGAGAGAGAGTATCCTATTCTGATCCAGTATGTCTCGGCCTCTTTTCGTAGAGCTTCTGGTCGCCATCGAGAGCGTTTATACATAATACGAACTCTGAAGCTCCAGCAACGAACCCCATGGATTTCTGAAACACGTGAACTTGCGACATCGAGGACAGTCCAAAATCAAAATCACAAGGATAAAATCAAACGGCTCAACAATTTGCACATAAACAGCCCCTGGGATCTGTGTGGCAAAGTAAAGAAATTTATTACTAGAACTAAGATCCACATATAGAAGGGTAAGGAATGCCTGTGCCATCTTTGAAGAAGATTCTCCAAAAGATAAACTCGGCTAGGATAAACAACAATTATACGAATGGCATAATAAATCCATTATTTTAATGTCACGAAGTTAGTAATATTTTCTAAAAACTTATAGTCCAATTTAAAAAAAAATCAACAGTTTTAACGACACAATATTAGTAAATTTATCTAAATACGTATTTATTGTACAGTTTAAAATATATACACCATTTTAACAACACAGTATGGTAAGATTGTCTAAATATTCATAGTACAATTTAAAATATATCCACCATTTCAACGACACAATGTTACTAAGATTACCTAAATAAGTATAGAACAAGTTATGTCACATTACAACCAAAATCAAAGCAATAAATATAAAATAATAAATATATGCTTTGAGAACTTGATGAACACGATATATATCCTAGGTATAACCCTAAAGGTTGAAAAGGATATTTTTTTTTAATCTACTACTGGTACTGGTACTACTACTACTACTACTACTACTACTACTACTACTACTACTACTACTACTACTACTACTACTACTACTACTACTACTACTACTACTACTACTACTACTACTACTACTACTACGATTATTACTACTATTACTACAATAACAATTACTGCTGCTGCTGCTACTACTACTACTATTACTACTACTACGATTATTACTACTATTACTAATATAACAATTACTGCTGCTGCTGCTACTACTACTACTACTACTACTACTACTACTACTACTACTACTACTACTACTACTACTACTACTACTACTACTACTACTACTATTACTACTACTACTATTACTACTACTACTATTACCACCATCACGACTACTACGTATACAACCACTACTACTACTACTACTACTACTACTACTACTACTACTACTACTACTACTACTACTACTACTACTACTACTACTACTACTACTACTACTACTACTACTACTACTACGTATACCACTACTACTACTACGTATACCACTACTACTACTACTACTACTACTACTACTACTACTACTACTACTATTACTAATACTACTACCACTACTACTGCGTTTACTACTACTACTACTACTACTACTACTACTACTACTACTACTACTACTACTACTACTACTACTACTACTTACTTACTTACTTACTTAGTTGCTCCTCTTCTACCTTGGGGTGTAGAGGTTTGCCAGAGAGATCGCCAGACGTCTCTATCCGCAGTTTTCTTTCTGGCTTTGTTCCATTCCAGTCCTCTGTCAGTTAGGGACTGTCGGATGTTGTCTTCCCAGCGCACCCTGGGTCGTCCCGGAGGTCTGGTTCCCTGGTTCTTAGCCTCCCATGCTTGCCATGGTGGCCGATTTTCTCCCATTCTGCATACATGTCCAAACCATCGTAACTGTGACTGATCTACTCGGGTTAGTAAGGGCTGGGTATCAAGATCTTGACGTATTGTCTGATTGCGAACTTTGTCCCTTCTTGTCACTTGGACCACCTTTCTCAGGTATGTCATTTCCGAGGCCTGCAGCTGGCTTCTGTGAGCTGTTGTCATTGCCCATGACTCACACCCATAGGTCAGGACTGGTACACAGGTAGAGCGGTAAACAGCCATTTTCGTCCTCTTGCCAATTTCTCTTTTGCTAAGAAACCCTCGGTTTATGGCCTGGAAGAGTCTCTCAGCAGCTGCTTTTCATGTAGCCAGCTAGTCCTAATGCCTCCGTTTTGGTCAAGTACAACTCCAAGGTATTTGAACTGGTTAACCTGCTCCAATGCATACTGTCCCATCATGATCTGGTGTTTCTTCTCCTCTCTTGAGATCACCATGGTTTTAGTTTTGGAGATACTGATGGTCATACCTTTCTTTTCAAGCTCTTCCTTCCAGACAAGTAAGTTGGACTGAAGGTGTGCCTCTGATTTAGCTATCAGGGCCACATCGTCTGCAAATGCAAGCTCTGATATACAGATTGGTCTCATCTTCTAGTACCCTACAGAGTACTTCTTTGTCTTCTCCTTACAGGTCTTGATGACATCATCCATCATAAGAATGAAGAGATAAGGTGAGAGAATATCACCTTGTCTAACACCGCTGGAGGTCTTGAATTCTTCTGACTTTTGGTCTGCTGTTCTTACATAATTTCTGCACCTTTTGTAGAAACTCTGTATTGCACTGATCAGGGGTGCTGCGATGTTTTTCCCTGCCAAGCAGTCCCAGAGCTTGTTCCAGGGTACCTTGTCAAATGCCTTTTCCAGATCAAAAAAACATAAGTGCATCTCACTCTTATATTCAAGGGCTTTTTCACTCATCTGTCTCAGTGTGAAGATAAGGTCTTGAGTACTTCGGTTTGCTTTGAAGCCGCATTGGGCCTCGTCCAGCTGTGGCTCTACCAGACTTCTAAGTCTCTGCTCAAGAATTCTAGAGTAACTTTTACCTGGAACGCTGAGGAGGGATATGCCTCTGTGGTTTTCACATGGTCTGTTATCACCTTTTTTATATATAGGTATAATGATGACAATCTCCCAATCTTTTGGTAAAGTTTTGCTACACCAGGCTGCCTGGAGAACCTTCAGTAGAAGGCGCTCACCTTCGGCTTCCATATATTTGACCATCTCTGGTGTTATACCATCATGACCTGCTGCTTTTCCTAGCTTAATCTTCTCAATAGCTGCCTTCAATTCTTCCATCCTGATGTTATCTTCCCCATGATTGAATTCCTTCTCAGCAGTGAGGTCCATTATTTCTGGGTCATGACTTCCCTCAACGCCGAGGAGCTCTGAGAAGTATTCTTTCCATCTGCCCATGATATCATTTGTAGAAGTAAGCAGAGCCCCTTCCTTGTCTTTTATGAATTTAAGTGTGCACTCTTTCTCCTTCCTCGTGTTCTTAAGGGTCTTGCTACTACTACTACTACTACTATTACTACTACTACTATTACTACTACTACTATTACTACTACTACTACGTATACTACCTCTACTACTACAACTACTAACAATGTGGTCGCAGAGATAGTATTATAACAAGTAACCCAATGTTAAAGTTGTATGAGACTACCTTAGGTAATTGAAAACGATAAGGCCTGAACACAGTCCAGCTTGGGCTTGTAAAAACAGATGATGGTAAAATAAACAAATCGTCAAATTATTTGTAAAAACAGAATTTTGTGTCCCGTTTAAGCCTCCGTGGATGCGCAAAAGGGCTTGACAAATTTTACAAGAACAATTGAATTAAAATGTTATAAAAAGCTAAATACCTTCGTTAGATAAAGAGACATTACACTATCGCTTTCAAGGGGCTGTAGCTCAAATGGTAGAGCGCTCGCTTAGCATGTGAGAGGTACGGGGATCGATACCCCGCAGCTCCAATTTTTTTTTTTTTTTTTTTTTTGACGGTGTCGTTTTGAGAAATGTCGTGGGTTTATTTCACATATAAGCCGCTCGGTTAATTTTAAGGAGAGATCTCTGGGGATAGTCGCGGGAGCGAATGTATTCATGCGTTGTGTGAATCTTTTGGGAGGCGGCTAGTCGTTCCTCGGAGAAAGACCGAGCCATTTGGGAAGCTTTTGCAGCAGTGTCGATTTTAACCCTAACGTTAGTGGTACTGGATCGGGGGAGGGGTGTGGGGTGGCAGGCATGGATCTGCAAGATATGAGCTTTTTATTGAGGGCATAGGTCGTGATTAGCAACATTACGACGGTATTTTTGCCCTAATTTTATTCTTCACGCCATTATAACTGCGTCTGACTATAAATAAAGAAGCAAAAATCGATGTGGCGACTTTCGTTGCCATCCCGAGGGGTGTTAGAGCAGGCGAGGCATGGACCAGTTTTGGGGCCAGTTGCAGTTTGAGGTCAGTTGTTGCTGTGTGTGTCCGTGAGTGTGGGGACGGGTGGAGCATGGGAGCTGAAGGTTTTAGAGGCTGCGGTGAGCAGGGGTGGGGGACCAAGTGGTTTAAAGTGTTGTACAGTAGAATAAGGTAGAATTTTGGAGCGGGGAGTATTGACAGGCTTCTGTAAATGGGATAGAAAGTATATAAGGTTAGGGTTGGTTGCGTATCCTTTACAGGACGTTCCAGAACTAACTCCAGCAGCCCCTGGCTGTTGTGTGGTTTCTCTAGGCAAATTTACGTCCAGTAGTTTGCCATTGCTTCTGGGCGGTCGGCTTTTCGATACCACTGTCGAAACCAACGCAAGGCGCATGACCCGCAGTTGGGATCGAACTCGGCATCCCGGCATTTCGACGAGCGTTCGCATCGACTTAGCCACAGAGTCGACAGAAAGTATATATTATATTTAAAAAAAGGGATGTGACACTACTCTCTAGTATCAGTTATATATAAAAGCTGTAAAGTAAGCCGCATCGGTGTTTTCCTCTTTTTTTGCCCCCAAGTTTTTAAAATAGCAGGACTGACTGACTGACTTTCTACCCCACCAAAACATCACACAAGCGATAAACACCCCATGACACAATGTGTCACCATGTGGATGAGGATCACCGTGGAGAGGTCCCAGAAACCGCGTTCAGCCTTTAGGCCATATTTATGGCCAGGCTATATTGCCACCTCTGGCTAAAGCCAGAGTAGGGCTTCAAATAACGAAAAATTTCATCCTATAAAGGACGAGAAGTGTTGATAATAATAGCAGGAAGCAATTAATAAAGAGTAACGTAATATGAGGGCAAAACTGCGTATCGTAATTTTAGCACAGATCTGTCTGTCCGTCCTCGTATCCATCTGTCTTTTTGTCTACCTGTGTCTGTCTGTATGTGTCTGTCTGTGCACGTTCTTGATTCTCTGCTGTTCTCTTAATATTTGCATGTCTTTGCCTGTGTGATTATGCATCTCTATATTACTCCTTATTTCCAACCCTCTCAACTTCTCCCCTTTTTCTTGTTTGCGTTATATCAAAGCCTCTGTCAGGGTAAAGTAATATTACTAAACAATAACAGTTAACATCTCTGTAAAAGTAATGTCTCCCTCTTTGTATCCTTACAGAGGTAAAACTATATTTGGCTACACTGAGCCGGAACTGGCAACAAAGTCCGGATATGACCTCATTCACCCTGATGACCTGAATTACTTCTCTTCGGCCCACCAAGAACGTGAGTACATGTTGTTGGTCAGTTGTTCGTAAGTCAAGTAACTAAACGACCTTTTTCCACGTCTTTGTCTTACTTTGCACACAAGGCTAGATCTATATTTATAGACCAATTGGCACTCGATGAGTGATGTAGTCAATATTACGCCGACTGTCTTCATTTCCCAGGACTTTATCTGGTACTTTTTAAAGACTGGATCGATCTGGGAGGCAAGGCCGTTTTTAAAAGTCCATTCAGTGAGGACCTGAGCCCCCGACATTCAGATCCGCATGCGAACGTCTAGACGCTACAGCACAGAGATTCCCCAGTTGTTGGTACTGACTGTATTAGGTTTAGCTGAGAGGATAACAATGAGGAAGTGTTGCACCTAAACCGGTTGCCCGGGTACGACGACATCGGTTTGGACAATGAATGCACGGATATCGAAACATCCGGGCAGATAGACACTTGCAACGCTCATAGCTAGGCTAAGAAAATAGGCTTTGTATGTAGACACTCTTTCATAGAGGTGCTATCTCCACAGTGAAGATTGGCTGCAGTGGGATCCCCACCACTCTCTGTCTTACGTCCTGTCTCAGTTGTATCTCTGTCTACCTTTTGCTCGCTTGCTTTAAAATGTCCCATTCCGTATGGATTTTATCAGAAATGTTTAAGAGTTTGTAATATGCTGCATAATGTGTGTACTTCTGTCAGTCTTCCTGTCTGCTTGACTGTCTGTCTATCTGACAGTCTGTCTGTCCATGTGCTTGTTAGACTACCATCTGTCTGTCTGTCTGACTACCTGGTTGTCAGTATGTGTCTGACTCTCTAAGTCTGACTGACTGTCTATCTGACTGTCTAATTGTTTGTCTGTCTACATACTTGACTATGTGTCTGTCTTTACATCTGTCTCTGTGACTGACTGACTGTCTGCCTATCTGTCCGTCTGACTACCAATCTGTCTTACTTCCTGTCTGACCGCCTGACTGTCTTTTCGCCTATCTGCTCGCCTGTCTATCTGTCTGGCTGTCTGCCTGCATATCTGTACTAAAATTACTCATCTCTTCCAGTGATCAAGACCGGAAGCTCGGGTCTGATATCTTACCGCTGGCAGACCAAGCATTTCCATTGGCTGTGGCTACAGTCCAGCTGCAAGGTTATCTACAAGAACAGCAAGCCGGACTTCATCATCTGCACACATCGCCAGCTCACGTAGGTGTACAGTTGTCTTCCTCCCCCAGCCGATACCCTAGCACCCTTCGCGTATTCAGCTTCCCCAACATGGAAGTTTAAAAGTAAAGGACCCTTTTCTACGCAATCAGGCCTACTGGGCGTATAGGGCTAGACATATATTTTATAGACCAATCGGCACTGGATGGGAAATGTGGTCAATATCAGGCCTGCCGCGTTTATTTCTCTGGACTTTACCTGGTACCTATTTAAGGCCGGGTCGACTAGGAGCAAAGGTCATTTTTGTAAAAAATATTCCGGCTCCGGCAGGATCTGAACCCACGACCATCGGATCTGCAAACAAGGTCTACCTGCCACACCACAGCGGCTCCTCCCACATGCCAGTTTGGTCTGCCCAAACGAGCTGCTACCATTTTTTTTTTTTTTTGGTTATCGCCGCAATCTTTGTTATGCTGAAAGACTCAAATCAACAGCACCGTGTGGCTCTTTATGGTTCTCTCCCGGTTGAACAGCACAAAGGCGACACAGAACATAAATCTCTTATAACCAGCTATCTACATAGTATGTGAACATCAAGCGCTGATTGGTCTGTTTGAGTCTAGGGTCACATATTGTGTTCCTATAAAAACATCATTTGCGTAGTATTATTCTAGTTTTTAGTGTAATATTATTTACATAAAAAGATTCGAAATATAGAGAATCAACTTCAATGCACGGGGCTTCAAACCCTTTGTCTCAGTCTCTCTCCGTATGACGACTAGCTCCTGCCTCGACGTCCGACATAGCATGAATCTTCACAGTTCCAGTAACGATCCCCTATGGTCACCGTATGCATTGCACTCAACCACTTAGCCATGGAGACAATCCACGAGACTGCTGTATATCCATCTCTTGATGTTATCCTCCCAGCTGCATGGCTCTCAACATTATCCGGTGTAATCTACAACTTATCGAAAATTGTCTGCATAATATCGAAAACTATTCACACACAGTATGATATTATACACATACTATCTAATACTAGTCCCATCTTATCTATTATTATTCATATACTATATATATATATATATATATATATATATATAATATTATTTACTGCAAACCATGTAATATTTTCTAGCTAATATATAATATTGTTCACATACTATTTAATATTATTCAAATACAATCTCAGATTTCTATTTATCTATCTATCTATCTATCTATCTGTCTGTCTGTCTGTCTGTCTGTCTGTCTGTCTGTCTGTCTGTCTGTCTGTCTATCTATCTATCTATCTATCTATCTATCTATCTATCTATCTATCTATCTATCTATCTATCTATCTATCTATCTATCTATCTATCTATCTATCTATCTATCTATCTATCTATCTATCTATCTATCTATCTATCTATCTATCTATCTATCTATCTATCTATCTATCTATCTATCTCTCTCTCTCTCTCTCTCTCTCTCTCTCTCTCTCTCTCTCTCTCTCTCTCTCTCTCTCTCTCTCTCTCTCTCTCTCTCTCTCTCTCTATCTATCTATCTATCTATCTATCTATCTATCTATCTATCTATCTATCTATCTATCTATCTATCTATCTATCTATCTATCTATCTATCTATCTATCTATCTATCTATCTATCTATCTATCTATCTATCTATCTATCTATCTATCTATCTATCTATCTATCTATCTATCTATCTATCTATCTATCTATCTATCTATCTATCTATCTATCTATCTATCTATCTATCTATCTATCTATCTATCTATCTATCTATCTATCTATCTATCTATCTATCTATCTATCTATCTATCTATCTATCTATCTATCTATCTATCTATCTATCTATCTATCTATCTATCTATCTATCTATCTATCTATCTATCTATCTATCTATCTATCTATCTATCTATCTATCTATCTATCTATCTATCTATCTATCTATCTATCTATCTATCTATCTATCTATCTATCTATCTATCTATCTATCTATCTATCTATCTATCTATCTATCTATCTATCTATCTATCTATCTATCTATCTATCTATCTATCTATCTATCTATCTATCTATCTATCTATCTATCTATCTATCTATCTATCTATCTATCTATCTATCTATCTATCTATCTATCTATCTATCTATCTATCTTCTTTTACCCCACCAGAACATCACACAAGCGATAAACACCCGATGACATAAAGTGCCACTATGTGGATGAGGATCACCCGTGGAGAGGTCCCAGAAATCGCGCTCAGCCATAAGACCATATTTATAGCCAGGCTATATTGCGGCCCCTGGCAAGAGAGAGAGTAGGGCTTCAAATAACCAAAAATTGCATCCCACAAAGTGATGACAAGATATTATTGAGAAACGAATCTCAGATTTTTCACATTCTGTCGCATATTATTCACACACTGTCTCATATTTTGCACACACTACCTAAAATTATTCACACACCAGAACATATTGTAAACATGTGTGACTGTATTCCACAGTGAAGACGAGGGTCAAGATTTATTCGGCAAGCGCGGCAATGAATTCAAACTGCCCTACCCGCTGTTGGACATTGACGTCTGCACGGGGTTCGGTTTTGGAGACGACGAAATCACATCTAAATCAAAGTCCAGCAAAAGCAAGAAAAAAGCTGGGAGTGCCAACACTGCAAGCGCCAACAACAACAACAACAGCAGCAGCAGCTCTAACAACAACTTTGCCAATCCCGGGAGCAACAAAGAATGTCAGAATGGTAAAAAAAGGAAGGCCGCATGTATTATTGGGGGCATTCCATCCTACTGTTCCTACCCGACCGGGTTTACAGCCTACGATGGAGGCGGCGGGGAAATGAAGCCGCCAGATTCTCTTTATACCTACGGGGGGAACAGCTATGCGTTTGATTCAGACGCCTACAGATCTCAGGGGTATGGCAGCTTGTCGCAAACTGTGTATCCAAGCTCTGACCCCTACAGGCTTGACGTTGATAAGCATGGTTATTTTCTAGATCATAGACAGTACCAGCATTCTTCTCTTCCCTACGCCAATAATGGGTACTCCGATTACGTGCCGTCTGCAAAATATGGATACGAAATGCCCAAATATGGTTTTGATTCTTACAGTTTAGATTTAAGCAAGAGAGTGGATTGTAGTGATATATCCCAGCTTCACACGGATGTCCGCCGGTATGCTTTTGACTATCATCACCCTTCGTACACTCATCTAGATGTTCACTCTCTCCACCCTGCCGATCGTTTTACTGGAAATCGCTTAAACATTTCCAGTTTAGACGCAGTGGATCTGAGGAACCCTGCTTCGCTGTACAACCCCAATCCATACATGAACACAGTGGACACACCATGTGCAGTTACCTCCCCCTGTCTGGCATCTTCATCTGTTTTGAAATCCGTTTCAGCCACTTCGCATCTCCTCAACACCAAGGACCAGCTTTCCTCCAAATACAAACTCCCAAGTGTGACCATCGATTCTTCACAAAGTTCTATGAGCTTTGACGTAGCCTCGCATTTACCTCTTCCGCATAATTCAGTTATCAAGTCAACCCGCCAACAGGATTCCTCTTTCGTGCCTTCCTCGCATAGTTTGACCAATTCGTTATCACAAGCAAACTCCGAGAACATCACCCCTCACGTGTCTGTATCCAAACAGTCTTGGACGGCGTGCAGCAAGTTGGTCAGCTGTCTGGGTGACCAAGCCGGATTACACGCAATCACGCCAGTAGACAACAGCCAGCTGACCGTTGACATGGTCAAATGCGGACACGACAACGGAAATATGTCAACAGTGCGGGAATGTGACGACGACCTCATCAAGTCTCACGAGTCACATTTAAGGTAGGTTCCAGGATCCAACCCCTCATTAACCTGATGGCACTATCAACATTATCATCATCGTCGTCACTACCATCATCATCATAATTATCATCAACATCGTCATCGCTTAGCGCATAGGTTACGACTCCTCTGGTGCTGTGGTCACGTGTTCAGTTTGCCTGCGAAATAGATGTTTATAACATTCATATAGACTTCCGGAACGACCCAAATACAGTAAAATGTGTACTTAGTAATGTCCTGAAAAGCAAAGGCGGCCTGTGTTGCAGTCGTCATTGAGTGTCGACTAGTCTATTAAAACTTCGAGCCTGTACGCCTAACGTGCTTCAAGTTGTAGGTATAGTTCAAAACGAGCTTTATCATCATCATCATCATCTAGTAACACTGCGTGTCGCTGGGTCACCGGTTGGCTGTCTGGTCAGCTCTCTCCACCTTTGGCGGGAGTTGCGATGGACTTCATGGTTGCATGTCTGAGGCCTGTTCAGTCAGCCAGGTTCTGTAACCTGGTCTTTCTTGCTTTGCCTCTTTCCTCCAACTCAGCCCTGCAGTATTCTTTTTGAGAGGCCGTTGGACATTATTACATGTTCATATCATTTCATTTTTCGCCTTTTTGCTGTAGTTAAAAGATTTTCATAGTTAAACAAGTTTATAGCTGACAAAAACCAACATTCCCTTTAAAAACATTGTGCGAGCGGCACTGGTGTAATGGCTAGACGTTGGCCTGCTAGTGCGGAGATTTTGGGTTTGAATCCTCATCCAGGCGAGTTTCTTTTTCATCAAAAATTGAGCCCTTGACTTGAACAAGTCCACCCTAACTGCTGGCGGATATCCTTCCATTCTGACCAGATGGTTCAACCATTTGATTCTTTGACGTTCTATGAAATCATTTCGCTGTCAAACGCCCATCATTGTTCTCAGTCACTAGTTGTTAGCTATGTCTCTTCTTGTTTCCGGCCGAGTTTTGAAATATTTCATCTCGCTTGTTGTAATTTTGCGTTTATGTTTTTCTAGGACTTTTCACATTTAGTATTATCTCTCTTATTTCACCCGGTGGCCTTTCCTTCCCAAAATATATGTTGCACCCATTTTAGGCAGGACTGACTTGTGTGTAAGTTAGTTTAGTTAGTGGGTTTAGTTATGTTAATTACTTATTTTGTTAGCTTAGTTAGCTAGTTAGTTAGTTAGTTATTTTGTTAGTTTAGTTTAGTTTAGTTAGTTAGTTGGGTAATACAGTAAAACCTCGCTTAACGAGCACCTCTCATAACGAGTAATTCGCATAACGAGCAAAACAGATTGTAAAAAAATGACTTGCTTAACGAGCGACGTTTCGCATAACGAGCGGTGAGGAGAGGGAAAGTCCCGGATTGTGCGCATGTTACATCAGTCTGTGTTTAGCACTTGTTCCAGTAGCATCGTAGTGTCGCTTGTGATCACACATTTTCTCAAACTTGTGTTATATTGTGATATATGTACATGAATCCTCCAGGCCTACACGATGATATCACTGAATATTTTAAGTTCATTAAGACCCGGTTTCTGCCTCCCAACACCACTCCGTTACTCCAGCCCATGGACCAGCAAGTTATTTCTAATTTTAAGAAGCTCTACACTAAAGCACTCTTCGAGCATCGTTTTCCTGTGACGGAAGGGACCAACCTCACTCTCAAAGATTTTTAGAGAAAAATCACGTCCACATCGTTGCCTGCCTCAATATGATCGACAAGGCGGGGTAAGGGGTTACCAAGAGAGCCCAAACTTCTGAAGCTTTGGCCGGAGAGCGATGTCGATTTGTGACTTTGAGGAGTTCGAGACAGTACCTGCGGAATCTGTAGTCAACGAGATTGTGTCTTTGGCCACTATCATGGGATTGGAGGTGGATAACAGTGATATCGAAGAGCTTGTGGAAGAGCACAGCCAAGAGCCGACCAGCGAAGAGCTTATGGAGTTGCATTGTGTTTCACAGCAAGAAGTTTTGGAGGAAAGTTTGTCAGAGGAGGAGGAGGTAACAGAAAAGCAACAATCTTCTCAAAGAAATGCTGAAAGCGTGGCAAACTGTTGCATCTTACATTGAGAAACACCACCCTAATAAGGCAGTGGCTATGCGCGTTGTAAATTTATTTGATGATAATGTTGTGCCGCATTTTCGCCAAATTTTGAAGCGTCGGCAACAACAAATGTCTCTGGACATTTTTCTAGTAAAAAACAATAATTAGCTATGTATCGACTTTTGTTTCTGAAAATTAATTCGCATTCCAGGTGGGTTCATTTCGCGTTTGAAGAAAAGATGAAGATGATTCACTCTCCCTAACAATATGTATATAATTGTCTTTGAATAAAAGTTATACACAACATTGTGTGAGTATTTTTTTCGACATGGAACGCATTATCGTATTTTACATTAATTTCAATGAGAAAAATTGTTTCGCATAACGAGTGTTTCGCTTAACGAGTATGATTCTGGAACGAATTATGCTCGTTAAGCGAGGTTCCACTGTAGTTAGTTAGTTAGTTAATAGTTAGCTAGCTGGTTTGTTAGTTTAGATAGTTGATAGTTAGTTAGTTAGTTAGTTAGTTAGTTAGTTAGTTAGTTAGCTAGCTAGCTAGTTAGTTAGTTAGTTAGTTAGTTAGTTAGTTAGTTAGTTAGTTAGTTAGTTAGTTAGTTAGTTAGTTAGTTAGTTAGTTAGTTAGTTAGTTAGTTAGTTAGTTAGTTAGTTAGTTAGTTAGTTAGTTAGTTAGTTAGTTAGTTAGTTAGTTAGTTAGTTAGTTAGTTAGTTTAGTTAGTTAATAGTTAGCTAGCTAGTTAGTTAGTTAGTTAGTTAGTTAGTTAGTTAGTTAGCTAGTTAGCTAGTTAGTTTAGTTAGTTATTAGTTAGTTAGTTAGTTAGTTAATTAGTTAGTTAGTTAGTTAATTAGTTAGTTCAGTTAGTTAATAGTTAGTTAGTTAGTTAGTTAGTTAGTTAGTTAGTTAGTTAGTTAGTTAGTTAGTTAGTTAGTTAGTTAGTTAGTTAGTTAGTTAGTTAGTTAGTTAGTTAGTTACTTAGTTAGTTAGTTAGTTCAATAGTTAGTTAGTTGGTCGACACATTATCCCTAATGCATATCGAACCATTCAGTCCATAAGTGCTCAGACCCCCCCCCCCCCCCACCCCCCTTTAGCAAAATCCTGCAGCGTGTAGCGGCTCGCGATACCAGTTCTGTGTTGGTTTCTTATTCTTCCTTGGATAGTGCTCTTGTCTGGCCAAACCCCTTTTAACATGTTGTTCTTGCAGTAGTTGCTGCCACCTGAACCTTTGTAGACTAAGCATTGAGAAAACTGTTTGCGAGTAAGCTGACCAAGTTTCACTGCCATAAGGCAGAGTGCTGAGAACACAAGCCTGGTAAACAAGATTTTTTGTTTCAATCGTGAGCTTAATGTTCTACCAAACTCCTTTTGTCAGTCTGCTAATTATTGTTGCTGCCTTACCTATCCTGATGTTGATTTCTTGGTCCAGGGATAGGTAGTTATTCACTGTGGATCCCAGATAGGCAAAATGGTCAATCATGAGGTCTATCATTAACACCTTGCACCATAACCCTTGTCTTCTTTTTGCTGATTGTTTGTCCAAACTCACAGCATGAATCAGCAAATGCACACAGTAAACATTGCAGCTGCTCCTCTGAGTGGGTGGTAACTGCTTCATCCCATGCAAACGGCAGTTTTCTGATAAGTACATTTAAAAAAAAAACCCTGGCTGTTGCCTTCAGCCTACGGGCATTACATATCGTCTAGGCTGTACACAAATACAATAATAACAAAGAAACGACCTGTTTCAGTTCCATCTTGCATATTATGCTAGACTAAAAATTGTATAGCCAAATTGGCACTCGAGGGGTAATGAGGTCAACATCTCGTCGGCCAGCTTTACTTCCCATGACTTAACCTAGTACCCAGTATAGGCTTGGTCAACCCGAGAACTGAGTGTCATTGAAAAAATCCGACCAGAGATGGGCTCTACCACTGCACCACCGTCGCACCCAAAACAATAATATGGATAGAAATGAATGGTTGGGGTGGGGGGTGGGGGGGGATGAGACAGCCGCCATGGTATAGCGGGTAGATGCTAGCCTCGGTACTGAATGTTTTATGCTCAAATCCGCATCCCGCCAGATTGATTTCAAAAATAACCTTGGATCCCAGGTTGAACAAGTCTTACACGGGTACTAGGAACAGTCTTGGGAGGTAAAGGCGGGTGGCGTGATGCTGACAACATCTCCCATAGAGTGTCGATTGGTCTATAAAATATACAGTCTGTGATGATAGCGACGTTCTGCAAAGGACCCACTACATTGTAATGATGATGATGATGATGATAAAACGGAGAGCTGGCGAATCTTTTGATCAATAGTATATCTGGCCGCCTTTACTTCTGAGAATATTTTATACAATTTAGGCTGGGTCGACCTGTGAGCGCATCAGAGCGGCTAGAACTTCTACCCATCATCTGAGCAGCCAAGCCTGTAGCTACTTCTCATAACATAGCCTTGTCTTGTAAATCGTGTAACTTAACACATGCTTTCTCTTGTAACATTAGTTATGAGCGTAACATCCGCTTCCTGTTGTAACATAACTCATGTAACTTAACCACGGTGTTCTCTTATAACATCAATCATGTAATCTAACCCCAGCCTTGTCTAGTAACATCACACATGTAGCTTAACCTAGGCTTTGTCGTGTAACATCACTCCTGTAACCTATTTCCAGCCTTGTCTTGTAACATCAGTCCTGTAACCTGTTCCAAGCCTTGTCTTGTAACATCAGTCATGTAACTCAACCCCGGTTTCTTTTGTAACATCAGTCGTGTAACTCAATTCCGGCTTTCTTTTGTAACATCAGTCATGTAACTCAACCCCGGCTTTCTTTTGTAACATCAGTCATGTAACTTAATTCCGGCTTTCTTTTGTAACATCAGTCATGTAACTCAATTCCGGCTTTCTTTTGTAACATCAGTCATGTAA